CGCGGATGGGGGAAGACCTAGAAGTGTATGGGAGAATAATATTAAAACGTATTAGAGAATAGTGTCTGAGGGTGTTGACTGGATTAATCTGGATCGAAATAGGAACTGGTGGAGAGCTCTTGTGAACGTGGTTATGAAACTTCGCGTTACAGAAGATTCGATAGTCGCATTAAAGTTACAATGGACATACCTGATGAACCTGTAGAAGGCTTAATGAGATTAAAGGTTGTCATAGAGGCGAGTATGAAGATGGCTGTCTTCTGGGTTGTGTAGTCTGGTAGAAGTATGCGGACGCTTCGGAAGTCGTTGCTGTCTCCATCATCCGGGCGTCGATAAAGTTCTACCAAAATACATAGCGAAACGTCCCAGAATACAACCATCCTGAAGAAGTCTCATCATTTCTCAGAGAACAGCGACTTGTCTCTGTGCAGTTTTGTACCCCCGTTCGGCTTTGCAGTTGACACCACGTCTCTTGGGTCATGTAGCTTTCATTCAAAATGCGATTCTTTATCCCTGCGGGGTGTCACTATAGGGGGTTCACTTTACGGAACGTTGAAATTTATTCTTTGGTTTCATTCTTTCTCGTTGTCGAGGTTTTTCTTATATCTCCCTCGTGATTTTCTTTATGATTTTGTGTCTGAAGGTTTTCTCTAAGTTTATAACTGTGTATTTCCTGCAATCAGAAGTAACATATTTCGATGAATTCAGAGGTACGATATACTCAGGGTTACTGCGAGCTATTTGCATGGTCTAGTTCAACAGTACAGCGTTGCTAGCTTTGCTACGCTGCAAGTTCTGAGCCATTTTTACTTGGGCTCCGCTGTTCGTACTACAAATGTGCATAATTTTGCTGAGATCTTAAACCTTGCTGTGTACCCTCTGCAGAAGCAAGTGCGTAGTTAAATAACCTAAAAAACAAAAACAAATTACCTTCCATTTTCTTGGAATATAACCCAACTTTTATAACTTTCATTCATTATCCAAATTTCTCTTCCTTGCAGTAAGCTTCTTACTAACATGACATTATAAATTATAACGAATCAGTCTGAATGTTGATTAAGGCGGTGTAATTATAAGTAATGAGTAGAGAACGGATGTGGAGGATTGTTAGCGGCTGACAAGGATCGTCAGAAGAATCAGCTCATGGATAAAATATTTTCTCTTCCTTTCCTTTTCATAATCTATCGCTGTTAACACACTAAAAGGAGGGTGGAATATCACGTGATCTCTGCTCAATATAATCGCCGTCACCAAATTTCATGCTTCGAGGTCACAGTAAAACAGTACAACGTTTTAAAACAAATTCGACAATCTTTCGCAGTAAAATAAACTAATTCTGCGGGTAGAGCAAAGACCTGTGATGTAATCTCGACCGATTGGTTCAATCGCACAATTATATTCTCGACGCGCGTGGGTCCCTTACTGCCATTCTCTAATCCCACCGTCAAGACCAGGAAATAAATGAATGTCGTCCTACGCGTTTTATCACCTGTGACTGATACATTCATTGCCACGTGCTTAATTTCCATACAGAAATATTCGTTCGATCCTCGACAAAGAACT